CAATTAATGTATACCTTTCCCTCACTATTATTTTGAAGTAAATTTCAGATAACATATTTATTTCTTCTTTTTTTTTTTAATATTGTTTTACTAAGACTTATCCATATTGTTGCCTAGAGCTGAAATTTGTCCATTTTAAAAAAATATATTTTATTGATTTTTCACAGAAAGGAAGAGAGAGGGATAGAGAGTTAGAAACATCGATGAGAGAGAATCATCTATCAGCTGCCTCTTGCACAACCCCCTACTGGGGATGTGCCTACAACCAAGGTACATGCCCTTGCCCGGAATCGAACCCGGGACCTTTCAGTCCACAGGCTGACGCTCTATCCACTTAGCCAACCCGGTCCCGGCCATATTTATTTCTTCTTAACTATTTCATATAGCTCCATATTATTCTTTTTGGTAAGTTTTTTTTTTTTTTTTTTTTACATTAATGCTCGTGAGGGTTAATTCTCCAGAAAAAAATTACCTTAAAGTGTTCTGTGCTTAGTCATTTCACAGTGATTTTTGGTATTATCATAATATCATTGGATAGTGTCTGGTCTCCTTTATGTTCTCATTTCATTCTGTATGTAATTATGGATGGAGTGAGTGGCGTTTCTTTATTCTGCTAGGCTCTCTGAAACAATCTCCCGGGTGTGACTGCATCATAACACGGTATAATGCAACCAAGTCAGTGTTAGTCTTCAATGTGACAGGTGATTTATGTATTCCAGTGAGGCGGCTGTTTCACAGGATATAAGGGAGCTCCTCTTTTGTGATTGCCTCGGGAATTACTACAAGTCATGTGGAAAAGCAGGCCTCATCACCAATGGCCAACAAAAATATTATTGAATTTGATCGCTTGCTTATCATCTTGAACTTTACTGGACCTGACTCTGAATAACAAATTTACTTCTAAAAATTAAGCCTTCTTTTGAGGAATTTTGATTTGGAACCAATAGCACCATTCAAAAGCAGGACATACACTTCGATTTAATAAAATGCTTTACAATCACACTGCCTTTCGTCTTCCTGTGTGTGCATGTGTGTAATATGTGCAGGTGTATAATGTACACATTTAGTTTACATGTGGGGGGGTGTGTATATTTCAGATGGCTGACATAGATTTTGTTCTTGTGTGTGTTTTTTTAATTTAAGTTTGTTTATGTTTTAAGTTCATAATGCTTTACCATGTTACAGAGGGAGAGGTTTTTCCCCCTTCCCTGTTTTGGAGCCCTCCATTTCTCCTCCTGAAGGAACCAATGGGACCAATTTTAGCTCTATTCTTCCAGATCTGTACAAACATGTATTTTTTTCTCTCACATTTTGATAGAGAGTGAGGCATACTGCAGTTTTGTACCAGCTTTCTTTTGGCTCTGCATTCTTGAGATTTGTCCATATTCCATGAATAGCTATCCATTTTTTGTATAGTATTCTATTCTGTGGATGTACCAAGTTTTTTAAAGCAACATCCCTGATGGAATTTGGGTTATTTTAATCCTTTGCTATTAAAAATGTGATGCAAAAAAAATGAATACATGCAACATTTTTCTCCAGGAAGATCATTAGTATAAATTCCCAGAACTGGGATGACCGGATCAAAGGATACATGCATTTTAAATGTTGACAGAAATTGCCCATTTGCCTTGTGGAAATGGAACCAATTTTCATCATCGATGAGACATGATTTAACTTTTTCCATAATCACAAAGGCACAGGACTGTCAAACTTTTATTTCTGTCAAATATGAATTTCATTTCTCTCACTATATTTAAAGGCTGAACTTAAAATATGCTTAAAGCCAATTATATTTCCTTCTGTATGAACTGTGTTTATATTCTTTGCTCATTGTTCCATTGTATTGTTGATCTTTTTCTTATTGATTTCTGAGTGCTTTTGGTTTTATGAAAATTAGCCTTCCATATGTGAGTTGGAAATAATTTTTCCCAGTTTGTTATTTTTAGCTTTTGACTTTGCATTATTTTTGCTCTGCAGAAATATTTTAGCTTTATGCAGTCAGATTTATCTGTTTTGTTTTCTGAACTATATATGATAGATGTTTATGTATTTCCTACTTTTTCTTTTTTAAATTGTCCCATTCTTTGGTACTTTCATTAGATTGTTCATCCATCTGAAGTTTATTTTAGTTTAAGGTGAAAAGTGTAGGTCCAACTCATTTTTTTTTCTGATGACTTTCTTGTCAACATGAATTTTTAAAAATGTCATAATCCATGCTCTCCTATATGAAAATAGCTAATACCAATTAAGCCATATGCATTCTGAGTTTTCTGTTAACTTTTATTGCTCTGAGGACTCTCTGTTTTTGTATGATCAGGAAATAATCATTTATAAGGTACCATGGCTTTTTAAAAATATATATTTTATTGATTTTTAACAGAGAGGAAGAGAGAGAGATAGAGAGCTAGAAACGTCAATGAAAGAGAAACATCGGCCAGCTGCCTCCTGCACGCCCCCTACTGGAAATGTCCCCACAACCAATGTACATGCCCTTGACTGGAATCGAACCTGGGACCCTTCAGTCCGCAGACTGACGCTTTACCACTGAGCCAAACCGGCTTCGGCGGTACCATGGCTTTTAAATCAGGCTGCAAGAAGCAGCCAGTCATGTGATGTTGTAGGTTACCTGCTCATGGTGTCTTACTTTAGTGTTCCACTCCCTCTCTTATTGCTTCTTGCAAAACACCATTATTTCTTTGTCTCCTGGTGAGAAAAATGCCACTTGAAGATTTCTATGGTAAAAATTTAACTAAATGTTGATACTGACTTGCATTTTTAATTTGTGAGCAGTTTGCAATCCACATAGTTTTGTCAAGTTACTGTTTAAAGTATTCCTTGAATTTATTGTGCAGTTGGTTATCATTTTTGAAGTGACATGCACTTCTTAGTTTTATCTGTTTACATTTACTAAAAGTGAATGTTTGGTAAGATTTTGGAGAGGGGTGGTGAGAACACCATGGCTGCATTACCCATCCAGGCCATGCGATTAGCAGAGGAGGTGTTTATGGTTTATGGTCTTGGGAAGGAAGCCACTTTCTGGAAGAGTTCTTACGGAGCATTATCCCTGGTGAAGCCTTCATTGGTAGGGTGGAAGATGGGATGTGTCCATGCAAATATTCCAACTGCATAACTGGTGTTATTTGCTGTAAATGCATTTGAAAGTTGTATCAGTTATGGTGACCTGTGATTTATAAGATGAAAGAATTACCAGTGAGATTAACCAGTTAACTGCCACACGTCCAAAACGGAAACCATCCCCACATACCATAGACGCTTATGGCGTACAAAGGGTTAGCAGACATATCTTCAGATTTACAAGGCTTTCAGTCTGGAATTCTTTGAAAAGAAAATAGACCTCCATTTGCAAGATGTTACTGTGAATGTTCCTTGACAATTCAATTTATCTAACAAATAAGTAGGAAAGTATAACTAAGAACAATTAATGAATTGTTTAATAGTAGGAAGATTTTATGGAACTCTAAATAATAAGAACTGATAGTATTTGTAGTAGAATATGTGCTATTTTTTTCTGTTTGCCTGATAATAAGTCATTTAAAAGTCCTTGGATTTTTCTCTCCATCTTTAAAACTAGAGGAGGAGGAAAAACAATAATAATAATAATAATAATAATAATATATGCTTATTCTGCTTTCCAGCGTTGTTTTGAGAATTCTAAACTACTATATGTTAATAAAGATGTAATATAATTTTGAGAATTAATAGACCATATACTACATGTAAATAAAGATGTATTTTATTATAAATGTTCTAACTTCCTCCTTTGGTTTTTGGAAAAATATGTTTCATTGAGGGTATTGTGTATGTATAATTATTTAAATTCTTTTTTCTCCAGTGATTTTTCCTTTTAAACTGCTGGTTTTTAAATTATGAAACTCTTGCTATTTGGCACATTGACAATGATAATGCTCTTTAAACCTGTAAAGATTGTGATTAAAAACTTTTGGGTTTACAGTCACTTAATATTGACCATATCTTTTTCCTTAATGAACCAATTCTGAAATTTCCTTCAGTGCACAAAAGCTTAGATCTATAGATTTTCACTGAACATTGCAAAGTATCCCCTTTGGGTTTGACATTCCCAACTGCATAGTCCTTGTTCTTTTGAATTTCAACAGTTTTATATTACATTTCATTGCCAAGATTCATAATAGCTAGATTACAGAGGCCATTCTGACTCCATTTGTTTCTTCTGAAGTGCATGATGTGTGTGCTGACCTAAACATAGCCAAGCACAAAAGAATCCCAAACACCTTTACACAGAAGGTGTATGGGATTCTTCAGTAAACAGAACACATGTGATATGTATATAAGCATATCAGGTATTTGTTAGTGATGATAAAATATGTAGTTTATTCATATTTTTATATTTGATACGATAATCATATAGTGTTAATTACTACACGTAAAGATTTCTCCTAGGCTACAGTAAAAGTATTCATCAGTATTGTTTTTAATAACTTTATCTCAGAATTCTTAAAACGTAAAAAAATTATAGAAGTAGAAGAAATTCAATTCCTGGTATTTTAGCAGTTTTGCTACATTTTCTTAAATTAAAATTTTAAAACTTCATTGGCTACAATATAATTTCATTCCAGGAAGATGAACTATAAAATACTATTTTCATTATGCTACAAAAATCTGTCATATTTTGCTATGCTTGAATATATTTTCTGATTTATTCATGAAATTGGTGGTGCCTTATTCATTGATGACTGACTCTATATGATATTTACCCTGTTTTCCTGAAAATAAGACAGTGTCTTATATTAATTTTTTCTCCCAAAGTTGCGCTAGGTCTTATTTTCAGGGGATGTCTTATCTTTCCATGTGCTAGGTCTTATTTTCAGAGGATGTCTTATTTTCGGGGAAACTCGGGTATTAGGGGTTTGCAGGCATAGTGATTTATTTAAAAAGTTACAAACAGATCAGTGAGCTGCTATAAATAAACCAGGTTTGCTCCTTTTTTCCCCCTGTAGGCAGAGCTCACAGTTTGGAGACGAAAAAACATTTAATGATTCATCATTACTGGAAAATCTCCAAAATAATCATGTAAGTGACATGAAATCATTATAATTAGTGAGTGAAAGCTAATGAACATTTCTCTGAATTATCTTCCCTGTTTATGTAGGGTTTTTTTTTTTTAGTTTTGTTGTTATTTTTAATAAATTTTAAAATCTGTTGCTAATTTTTTTTTAACTTGGCCAACATGGTTCTTAGATATTCATTTTTCCTATTATCATTATCAATATTCTATCTTGTAACAGTGTCTTACGTTAAATAACAAATGCACCCTCTTTGTTTGAAAGAACTCATTATTAACAATTTCAAAATATCTGTAGAAATGAATTACCTGCTCAAAATGATAGGCCATTACCAACTATACACAGTAAGAACTATGGATATCTTCATCAGCTCATTGACACTCACTAAAGCTTCATCAGACTAGGTGGTAGGGTTTCCTGGCCTTTAAGCCCCAGAGCTTTTTCTCACAGTTGCTTTAATATGTGCCCAGCATGCTCCCTCTGAAGTACGGGTGAACCTACCACCTGTGCCTCTGGATGGCACTCTTGTCATGTGTTTGCATGGCTATTTTTGTATCCTTTTTTCTTACGAGAGCCTACAACAGACTATTAGCTTCAGGATCCACAAAACCTAGACCTAGACCTCTTCTTCCCTCTTGTGCCCTCAAGTTCAGTAACTTCTACCACCACCTGTCTTCATTTCCCTTTCTAGGCACTTTAGGGTTGCTTTTGATCCTAACTTGTCCCTCTATCTCCAATCAGTGGTGTCACCGAGTCCTTGTCAATACTGACTTCTAGAATACATCTCAAACATCGTCTTTATTCTCTCATTCACTACTTGAGTCCAGAGGACCTGCATCCCATCTCCTGTGTGAATTACTGGAATGCCTCCTCACCTTTCTCCTTGGTTTCCTTTTCACTTCCTTCCAATTTTCGTTGCACAAGACAACTGCAGTGATGCAAGTGGAAATCAAGTCCCACCGCTTTCCTGTTCAAAACCATTGTCGGTTTCCCTCTTACCTACAAAGATCTGGGCCTGCCTGTCACCAGCCTCACTCGAAGCCGCTCTTCCCTTTTCCCCCAGGCCATGCTGGTTTCCCTTTATGTTCTCAAACACACTTCATTATTTCCTTCTTTAGGATCTTTCAGTCATATTAGGTTCCTGTTTGATGAAAAATCTCTGCTCGGTTTCTCATGCGGCTAAAACCTCACAGGCTTAAATATTGCATTATCTTCAGAACAACCACAAACTCACCCAAATCACATTACGTGTGTTTGTACATTCTCTTCTTTATAGCCCTTTTCACTCTATGAATAGATTATACGTGTATGTTTATCTGTGTTCTGGGTCCTTGTTCTTTTGAGTGATCAACCACAGAGCAACACTGGCCAGTCTATTTTATTTTTTGTCCAACAGCATAGAGAGATTTTTTTTTTATTAATTTGAATGATATTTTTCTTTGTCAAGAACCAGGCAGGCAGATGTTTAATGTGAGATCTGGCTTCTTTTCCTCTATAAACTAAACTCCTTCCAGAAAGGATTTACTTTCATGTCTTCCTCAGGTCACACGAGTCCATCGTACATGGAAACTGCTCAATCATTTCTTTATTTGGTAAAATCTGTCAGTTAAGGTTGCCAGTTTGGAGAGAGGGAGAACAAGGCATTACAGAGGAATCCCCTGCCATCATCAACTCAACCCAGAATAGTCAACCACAGTAAGATGAGATGCCTAAAATTTAAATCTGGTCAGGGCCTGGCCAATGTTGCTCAGTGGTTGAACACCGACCTATGAACCAAGAGGTCTCAGGTTGGATTCCCGGTCAGGGCACATGTCCGAGTTGTGGAATCGATTCCCAGTGTGGGGCGTGCAGGAGGCAGCCAATCAATGGTGTTTCTCTCTCATCAGTGTTTCTATCTCTCTCTCCCTATCCCTTCCTCTCTCTGTAAATAAATAAATAAATAAATAAATAAATAAATAAATAAATAAATAAATCTGGTCAGGAATTAGAACCAGATAAAGAACATTTTAGAATTTCTCCCTGTCTTCTAAGCCCAGTATTTGACCATATCCACTTTTTTTTTTCCACTGTACTCTTTCTATTTAACAACACAGAGTTGTGTTGTATAAATGTTTACAAATTAATGAAAGAGTACAAGAATGAATGATTTCAGTTAAAAATATTTTTTCTTCATCATAATATTGTCTTTTTAGTTAGCTATAAGCTCATACCTTCGATATTCAATAGCTACACTCTTAATGAAGGAATATTGCTATCAGAGTGTCAGAATATTTCAGTGAGAAGGTCTAATGTCGGTTATTTCTTACAGCCAACTGCATCTGTAATCTGTGAATTTCTCACCATGATGGCAGTCTGTCACACAGCAGTCCCAGAGCGAGAAGGCGACAAGCTTATTTACCAAGCAGCATCTCCAGGTACAAATGAAGCAATTGTGATGTATTTTTTTCCCGTGGGAATTTTTTCTTGAGATTGTCAATAAAATCAATTTAATTTGGAAAATTAAAATAACCAACTTAAGTTTTTTATTTATTTTTAAAAATATATTTTATTGATTTTTTTTTTTTACAGAAAGGCAGAGAGAGGGATAGAGAGTTAGAAACATCGATGAGAGAGAATCATCAATCAGCTGCCTCTTGCACAACCCCTACCGGGGATGTGCCCGCAACCAACGTACATGCCCCTAACCGGAATCGAACCTGGGACCTTTCAGTTCGCAGATCAACACTCTACCACTGAGCCAAACTGGTTTTGGCCCAACTTAAGTTTTTTAAATTAAAAAAATCATTTACTAATTAGACAAACCTTGACTCTTGGAATTAAATATATCTAAATGTTAAAACATAAACCTTTATACAATTTTGGTAGATGATATAACATAGAAATTTGAATAACAAAATTCAAGCAAGTGAAAGTATTTTTTATATGCACATGGTAAATTATCCCTTCTTTCAAAAAAAAAAAAAACTTAAGTAAAAAGCTGTTTTTGCACATAAGCAGACAGAAAAGGAAGGTCTGTTTACCTAGAGTGTGCATTTTAGAACACCAGTTTTGCTTTTTTCTTTGGGGAATGATAATCAATAATAGATTGTTGTGAATTTATTTGGATGAGGATGGTTTACACATTTGAAGGGATTCCATAACATAATATATTAGCATAGTTAATTTTTGAGCTTAATTTTAGACCTATTTTCAATGTAAATTTGGGTAGTCAATCCAATTATTATAAGTTTTTAGGAAAGAAGGAACATACTTCGGAGAACTTTGTTAGAAGGATTTTAAACTGTATTCTAAACCAGTAGCTGTAACGTAGTAGAATGTACCAAATTCCTTCTAAGTATAAGAAAAGTTACATCTCACATTGCTGGGATAGAAACTATGTGAACATTCTCTTAACCCACACCCTACCCTCAGCAACAAGAAGTTTTAAAGTAGCATGGTGATGACAGTAACTACTAGTAATATATGAAAAAATCAAGCCTCCATTCCTTTATATCCATTTAAGTCAAATTCTCAATTAGTAGTGTTAGTTTTTCTACCATCAATGTTTTAGGAGAAAAGACATAGAATGTAAGAAGGCAGTTTTGTGTCATTCATTTTGAGAAAGATGTTCCTAGAAAATATGCTGGACCAAGAGGCACATGTACATTTTCATTTTTGTTTACAAGTAAGACTGAGTCTTAATGTTCAGAAAAAGGACTCTGGGTCTATATTGATCTCAGATTATTATATTCATGCCTTTGGCATTGGTATATAACGTTAAAATAAATGGATTGCATAACAGAAGCCAGAACAAGAAGAATTTTAATGCTTTGAAAATTAAACAGCACCTGGCCGAGGTGTCTCAGTGGTTGAGCGTTGGCCTATGAACCAGGAAGTCACAGTTTGATTCGCAGTCAGGGCACATGCCTACCTTATGGACTCAATCCCCAGTATGGGGCCTGGAAGAGGAGGCCGATCAATGATTCCCTCTCATCATTGATGTTTCTATCTCTCCCTCTCTCTTTTCCTCTCTGAAATCAATAAAACACTTTTTAAATTAAACAGCAAATTATAGTATAGTGATGTATTTCTCTGGTGTTGGGAATAATTTTTATATCACCATGTATTAATATTTGCTTTCACCTATTTTTTTCCAAAACAGATGAGGGAGCTTTGGTCAGAGCAGCCAAGCAATTGAATTTTATTTTCACTGGAAGAACACCTGACTCAGTGATTATAGATTCAGTAAGTTATTTACTTTTAAGTCTTTTTTTCATCAAAGTAAACATATGTATAGCTTTAAAGATAAAATAATACCAAAAGGCTTGTTTGAAAATAGAGGTTCCCTACTCTAGAGGCAACCACCTTCTGTTACTTTATGTCTTTCTTCAAGCATTTATACATCTTATATTTTCAAAAAGTATATGTGATTAATGATACTCGGTTTCTTCAATATTATACATGCCTATTGACTTTCTATTATATTTTGTTAAGTGAGGATTTATCTCTTCTGACTCACCATCTCTTCCCAATCTACACTAATAAAAGAGAAATATGCAAATTGACCATACATTTGTAATGCCCACCAGCCAGTCAGGAGTGGGTATGCAAATTAATCCAACAAAGATGGCAGGTCAATTTGCATATGCAGGCATGGAGCAAAGACTGAAGATGACTAAAGACTGAAGAGGCTTGGATTCTTCGCTGTGGCCAGAGCAGAGAAGCCTTAGACTTGGCTTCTCTGCTGTGGCTGCAGCAAAGACCTGGGTCTCAGGTGCTGGAGGAAAATTGGTGCTGGCAGCCAGGGTAAGGAAGGCCTATTGCATGAATCTTCATGCAACAGGCCTCTAGTATTATTATAATTGTATTACAATTTTTGGCTAAACAAGTATTCAGATCCAGTTTATCAAATGTTCAAAAGACTTAAACATTTATCAAAAGAAGACATGAAAAAACATTGTTAGTCATTAGAGAAATGAAAATTAAAATTATAATGAGATACTACTACATGCCATCAAAAAACCTAAAATAAAAACTGTTGCACCAAATGTTAATGATAATATAGAGGACGTGGAGTACCCAGGTATTTCTAGTAGACTCACAACATGATGCAATCCCTTTGGAAAACCTTTTAGAGTTTTCCAAATACAAGTAAACTTGCACCTGACCCAGAACTTGTTCTCATGGTTGCCCAGGAAAAATGAAAGCTCATGTCCACAAGGCAATGTCTAATGGAATGTTCTTAGCAGGTTTATTCACGGTAGCCAAAAACTGGAAACAAACCAGATGTCCATCAGTAGGACAATGGGTAAACAGATTGTGATACAATCATACAATAGGATATCTAAACAGTAAAAAGGAATGAATTATTGATTCATCAACAGCATGGATAAATCTCAACATCATTACACTGAGAAAAAAAAATCAGGCGCAAAGGAGTGCGTAGCCTTTGGTTTCCTGTATAAGCAGCTCAAAATCAGGCAAAAGTGATTTGTGGTGATAGAATTGAGAGCAGGGTTGCCTCAGAGTCAGGGAGGAGGTTGTTTGGGAAAGGGCACAGAGGAATTTATGGGGCGATGAGAATATTCGGTATCTTGTTTGAGGTGATTGCACCAAGTATGCCTTTGTCAGACTAAATGGATTTCATTGAACTATACATTTAAAAAATATGTACTTTATGTATATAAGTTATATCATTATATATCATTATTTAGTGTTTATATTATTACACCTGTAGCAATATGCCTAGCTCAACATTGCTATATCCAGTATTTTCTTGTTTTAATTTTATTTCCTGGCTTAAAATTATTTCCTGAAAATATGTTTCCTTTTATTTCCTAAAGATAAATGTGTACATTTTTAAATTGCTTATTTTCCTTTCTTCCTGTTGCTGATTGCCTTTATACCTTTTTACACACCTTTATCAGATAACCTGCCAGTTAGTTAACCTGTTCTTAAGTCATCCTTCTTGAAGTCCTCCATTCTCCTTGGTCTGGGCCATTTTAGTTCTAAGGCTGCTTCTATGGCTTTTGACATTCCTTTAGATTTTTCTCCTGTTTAGGACTTTTCCTCTATATCAACCCTTCTTTCTCAGTGAACTCCCTGGTTTTGAGGGAACACATGATCTGTGAGTTTCATCAGGTTAAAAAGTTGTTCCGGAAGTGGGGAGGAGTGATAGCCCTCAGCAAGCCCAGCTCTTTAGCTCTCAGATGCCCTGGCTGACAGTCTTACTCACAGATGTCACCCTGAAGCCACTATCCTATATCCCCTTTATTTCCCATTAGTCTGTGCTCGACCTCCTATTTCCTAAAGCCCACGTCTCCCTGGTTCTTGGTTTATTCTTTCGTTTTTGTGGGACACATTCTTTAGTGTCTTCTTGAGAAATGGTACAAGGGGAATGATTTATTTTTTTTCTTTCTCTCGAGTCTAAACATTTTTTTTTATCTTACCATTATGCTTAATAGTTAATAGCCTGCCTGCAAGTAAAATGTCAGGATGGAAATCATTTTCCTTAAGAATTTTGTTTGCTTCACTGTCTTCTGGCGTCCAGCACACTTAGTTGAGAAATCAGAACCCATTGTGATTCCACATATTTTCTGACTTGCCCTGCCCCGCCCCCCTGATGATTGTAGGATCTTCTTTGTCCTAAGAGTTCTGAAATTGTACAATCCTATGCCTTAGTGGGAATATTTTAACCCATTTTACTGTGTACTGGGTGAACCCTTTTCCATTTGTAAATTGATATGCCATCCCTCAGTTCTGGAAAATTTTCTTGAATGATTCCATTTTCCTTCTTTTTGCTCTGCTCTCTTTAGAATTCTTGAGCTAACCTTTTAACTTCTTTTCATGCCTTTGCCTTTTTGTTCTACTTCTTGGGAGTTTTTCTCAACTTTGAATTCTTGCCCTTCTATTGATTTGTTTTTTCATTTTTTCTGTCATGTTTTTGATTTCCAAAAACTTTTTTTTTGCCCTGTCAGTATTTCTTTTTTAATAGTATGCAGTTTTTGTTTCATGCATGTCATACGTTATTTCTCTCTGAGAGGAATAATGATAGTTATTGAGCTGAGTGGGTTGGGGCATGAAGGCCCAGCATCCAGCATCAGGATAACAATGATGCCGTGTCTTCAACTGTGCCAGTCAACTTCTAGACGAAAGACCCTTTTTCACCCTGGTCTTCTGCTGGGCAGGAAGGGCCAGTGTTTGGGCTGCTCCAACCCAGTACTCCCTATTTTAGACCCCTCCTTTCACCTCCTAGTCCTAGAGCTGAGGGCATTTCACTTCCACAGTCTTTGAAGGATGATGCAGTACAGATCAGGTTGGTTCCCAGCTTTTCAGTGGCTACTGTGGCATTTGACCTTCCTTGAGAAGTAAGATTCCACTCATTGAGCTCTTTTCAAATTGTTGGTACTATTGTCTTTTTCCCCCCTGCCATTAGAAGTGTCCTTCTTTTTAAGTGTTTACTATCCTTTTAGTGGGGCTTTGGGAAGGATGGAAATTAAGTGTGAATGTTCAGGCTACAGTATCGTCCCAATGCCAAGGTTGCAGGTTCAGGTCAGGGCACATACAAGAACCAACCAATGAATACATAAATAAGTGGGACACCAACTTAATCTCTCTCTCTCTCTCTCTCTCTCTCTCTCTCTCTCTCTCTCTCTCTCAACCTATCAATAAGTAAAACAATGGGAATGTTCAACCTTCCATCTTAACTTGTAAGTTAGTAAGTTCAATAAAAGATGATATATTTCAAAAGGGACGATTTGTTGGTGTTGACATTTTTTACATTAAAATTTCATGACTGAGGTTTATTTCCAAGAAGGCAAAGAAACTTCCAACTTTATGTAATCATGAAATTCCTTTTCTTTATAGCTGGGGCAAGAAGAAAGATATGAATTGCTCAATGTCCTGGAGTTCACCAGGTAAAAACATCTGCTCTGTGATTTGTGTGCGTAAGATAAATGTCTGTCTATTGTTATTTTTCTCTTTTTACATAAGTAGGAAAATAGACTTTATTTTCTTTAACTGAACTTATTTAGACAAAATATTGCACTAAAATCTTTAGTACAATGTTTAATTTTCATAGCTGCAGATAAATCAGAAACAGCTTCCTTCAGAATGTTGCCAGATAGGACGCCTAAAGATAGTATAAAACTATTTTTTAACATGACTGTCTGCATCACAGCCGAGGGATATAGGACCAGAAGAATTGCGGCTAATGATCTGGAAACATTGTTATACTTAGAGGGACCAAGATTGATGTGGAGTGAAGATGAATCAGAGTTAAGATCCCACAATCCTAATTATGTGCTCATTATACCTAACGGTCACTGGGATTCCGGAAGACATATCCATGTCTCTGCTGGGCATCAAACCAGTTACTATCTGGTGGGAAAGAGCAGAAAGCAGAGAGATTATTCTACTTACTTCCTTTCTTAAAGTCAAATAATGAAGGCCTTCTGTTATAATCAGTGATGTATCTGGGGTGTAGGCTTTTTATTCCCACGTGCCTATTTAGTTTCCCAGCTGACCTACATTCTTGGGGCAAATAGTCTTCAACTACAGACAGAAGGGCCTTTAACGGTTTCATTGCCGTTCACGGGGCAAAGGGACTGTTTTTCCTGCTCTCCCTTGTATTATATCTATGGAATATTCATAAATAGCCTATCAATGAGCATATGGATATGTTTGTATATTAGCATACACCGATAAGCCCTGTGCTAAGTGGTTAAGTGCCATGAAGAAAAAGAAGGCAAGGTTGTGAGGTTAAGCTTTTTCAGGATGGTTAAGGGTGATGGGGGTAGGCATAAGGGTGAAAGGGAAAAAGGTGAATAAGGTGATATTAAAACAGGCTCCTGGAAAGACATTGGTGGTTTAAATTAGGCTGATAGTAGTGAAATTGATAGAACCCAGGTACCATGAGGGATGTCGGGGGGCTTTGGGGTGGATTGGATGTGGAAGGGAGGAATTAGAGTCTCAGGTATGAATAGCTGGGTAGATAGATAAGGTACTGTTTACACAGGTGGCAGGTATAGGAATAGGAACAGATGTGACGGGTGACATGTTTGCATGGTAGATGCCCGTGAGAAACACAAATGGAGGAGTCAGAGGTAGGCAGCTGGGTATAATGGCCTGGCACATGGAAGAGAAGCCAGTGGGAGAAATAGAAACTCTGAGGTCCTGGGCCTGTCCGTGGTGCCCAAAGCCATGGAGATGAGTGGGATCTGCTGGGTATAAAATAGAGAAGGAGGGGAACAAAAAAGGCTGAGGATTGAGCCCTGAGTAACTCCAAATTTAAGGGTTGATTAGAAAATGGGGAATTGCCTTGTTATTAGAGAAGCAGAGGATAACGGCACAGAGCCAGGGGAAGAGGATGATTTCGGGACAGTAATGGTCATCTGTGTGAGAAACAGCGGCAAAGTCAGCTCAGAGGAAGGTTGAAAAGCAGGTGTAGGATGTCGCCATTCCGTGCAGTGGTGAGGAGAGACTATCGTTTCTGTTTCTAATGACATACAGTTCATCCTCAACCATACAGGCTTAAATGCCGTTGTTTTCTAATCTGAACACATTGGACCAGAGCTCCTCTCTACCCTGGTGGGTACTAACTCAGGCAGGTCTCTAGGGACCTGCCTGAGTTAGTACCCACCAGGTACTAACTGTTTAGTTTCTTCAATTATCCCTCCGGGGCAGCAGATGGTACCCTCCAGCCTTAAAAACCGTTATGGAACTTCCAGAGGTACCCAACTGCACGCCCAGGGGAGGGTTTGTATCCGTGGTCACATTTCAGTCAAATTTATTTTTTCAGTGTGACTCTTAAAGTATATGAGGCATGACACACATGTCGATGCGTATTCTCGGGATGATGACACGTTATGGAAAACCTTTTCTTCCAGCACCAGGAAAAGAATGTCAGTGATTGTTCGCACTCCATCCGGGAAGTTACGACTCTACTGCAAAGGAGCCGTAAGTTTTTATTTGTGTCTTTTGCAGGTTTGATTTGTGGTGGTTCCTAATGTCTATGTTAAGCACTCTGCTGTGGAAATACAACACAGATGTTTAGCATGACGTTGCTGACATCCCCTTTTGTTGGTGTTTTATGTAATAGTGCTTGGTCTCTTCAGGTGCCGTGTGGAATTCCTTCTGGGCCAATTTGGTGCTTTAAAAAAGTATGGCCTAGGTTATTCATATAATTTAATTTTTGATACCTAAACTTAAGGTGTATATTACATAAAGAAGATAAGAGACACTTAAATTCAGAAAATATTCTTAAATTGTATTAGAGAATACAATTTGACCACCAGTTGAATTTGAATTTTTAAAGACCACTGAAATGGGGGGGTGGGGATTGGATCAGAATTATTGCAATAATTTCTTCATGTGACAATCTCTATTTGTCTTGTATCGTTTTAAATTATAACAATTTTTTATTGTTGGTTGGCTTTGGTATATTGGCAGGTCAGATTGGCAGAAACAGCAATCTGTCATACTAACTTGATTTTCCTAGTTAAAATATCTTTCCACTCATTGAAAAAATAAGAAATCTACTGACCAGAGCCTTTTTTGTTGTTCTTAAAATTGGTAAGGATTTTCTTTCTGAATTATCCTTTTTAGGTACCTTAGTTACTTGGACTAGTCAGGTAATGTATTAACTTGGAACTTTGCAATTTTGAATATAATAATAAAATAAAAAAATCTCACTTTAAAAGTCCATGGGACTTGGAAATTGACCTTATTAAGAAGCCCAAGTATCTCACTTAGTTCCTGTTGAGAGTGTTTTTCAATGCCTTGGTTTTAAAGTATTTGGTAGAACTACTTTATGGTGTCTCATGAATTTAGTCTTAGAATGCCCTTGGTTGTTGATCCAAACAATTAAACATTTATTTGGTGTATACATTTTATCTACTAGACTTTGAAGTGGATTTGGATATAGGAAGATAACACCCAAGACTTGTTAGGAGCTTAAGACAAGTCAGAGAAATATATATAAAGAGAAGATGAGAATACAATATTAAGGTATATTGTAAAGATTGCATCTCGATGGTAGCATTCAATGATAAGGGGATAAAGAGAGCCTTTAAGACTCTCACTTTGAATAGTGGATGTAAAAGTGTCCAGTTTAGTATACCCAACTCACATTTTGTCCTGCTTAGTTTTGAGTAGTCCACCTACAAACTTTGTCTGGGGAATTAAAGCATTGAATACAAAAATAAAAACACTGGATTTCCTTTTCCATAATCACAGACATCATTTGCAAACATTAACTTGCTCATTGCATTGTTTTTCCCCGTTTTCAAATTTCCTGTGCAATATTTGTTAAATATTAAAAAGGCATAAGTATATAAAATAGCAAGGCACATTTGAGAACCACATGTAGTTTGGCCAGCAACAGCAGAATGTAAGGCTGGAAAGGTGAGTTAGCTCATAGGTCTTTTCATGCCGAAGAATTTTTATGCTTGTTTCTGAATTGTTCTGATGCCATTTAGGAAGATGAGTGAAGACAAGAAAGAGATCAATATGGAGGTGCCAATTGAGGCTGTTGATGATAAGGGCAAAGAGTTGATAAGGATCTGAACCAGGTCAGTTGCAGAGAGGGCTGAGAGGACAGAGATTTTAGTAATCGATTACATGTGGATGATGATGCAAGAGGTGGTCTAGGATTATTATCAGATTTCTATTTGGCTGAGTTTACTAAGTGATACCACTTCCAAGATAGAGTGTTGGGGCAACCTCTGGCTCATAAGGTGGAGATAACCTGGGTCTCAAAACTGGGGTGCTAGTACAGACTTAGGAGGTAACAAGTGTAAGTGGAAACTAAAAGCAGAAGATAGATGAGAACTCGCAGGAAGAAAATACCACATGAAAAGAGAGCAGGAGTAAAGGTGAAACTCAGAGGATCTAGAGGGGAGACTGAAATTTGGAGGAGATGTTTCCTTGGTAGAGTGAATATCCACAGAGACAAGTGCAACACAGTACGTTAGTAATAAAAGTCAATTAAGAAGCCATCACTAATACTTCCCAGTCAACATAGATAGTCTGTTAGTACTTTGATTGTATCTCCTCAATTCCAATATCCTGGTAGTGATGGATAACAGTGTAAGGAGAAAAGAGATAAAATCAGGCTCAAAGCAAATAGGAATAGAAAATCAAAGTGGCACATTGAAATGAAGCGTGAGCTGAGTCGGGTGGGAGTCCCAGGCCCTGGGTTTGGAATCCGGAAGGAGTGGCTGGAGATTGGTTTCTGTGGGGCAACGGTGGCAAATAGTTCTTTCTATAAAATGCAGATGGCAGCCAACTTCTACTCCTTGAAGCTTAAGACAGCGGTGAGCTTCCCAGTCACGCAATGAGGCTGAGCAAAACGCATGCCAACCTCTGCTGGGGGTTGGAGACCCAATAGCTTGTAGGCAGAGAGGGAGAAAGCAAAACCTGAGCGTGGATTCACTACGGTTGAAATCATCCAGTCTAGCAAAGGATATCTAGGTTCAACATGATAAAAAAAAAAATTAGAATTTTTATTTTCAATTATTTATCATAAAAAATAAATTGGAGGGGAGAATGGGCTACCTGTAAGATAAATTAGAAACCATGAAGAAATTTAAGAAAGAACATAAGCAAATGGAATAAACTCTAGATTAGACAGAGTTGAAGAGGTGGGAGTGGAATTAGCAAATTAGAACGTAGTACCTAACGAGTTCATCTAGAATAGGGGTGGGAAACCTTTTCTCTGCCCAGCGCCATTTGGACATTTATAACCTCATCTGGGGGCCACACAAAATTATCAGCTTACAAATTAGCCTGAAAACATAAAATACACGTTATCTATATATGTGTTTACTTTTCACATGAAGGGTGGCCAACTGTGATTGTCACTTAAAAACATGCCATTCAATCTGAAGAGAAACCAGAGGATGGAATTGGAGAACATCATGCTAAGTGAAACAATCCAGTAGATGAGAGAAAGATACCACATGATGTCACTCATTTATGGATAATAAAGAACATTATAAACCGTTGAACAAAAAGATAGATACAGAGACAGTCAAGTATCAAACAGAATGTCAGATTACAGCGGGAAGGTTAGGGAGAGGTGGGGGAGATAAGAAATCAACTGAAGGACTTGTAAGCATGCATATAAGCATAACCAATGGACTCAAAACTCTGGGGAAGGAGGGCATGTATGGCAATAGGGGGGGCAGGCAATGGTAAGATATGTACACATATAATATCTTAATAAAAAATGGGGGGGGGAACAAACATGCTATTCGATTCACGCAGAAAGTCACGTTCAGTCCCCCGCTTTCCTCAGCGCCTTGGAGAAGGCAGAAAGTTCTCCTGTGCTGAGCATGTTTCTCCTTCCAGAATGCCTGGTTGCATTGCAGAATCTCCTTTCCCTATCCCTATCATCACTTTGGTTTACATGATTTTAATCATTTAAAAGATTTTCTTAGTTTTAAAGTGACCCTTTTAATTTCCTTGGAAATGACATTAGTCTCTGGGGGAAAAAAATAATTAATAAATAAGAGTTCCTAAGTTATGCCTTTCATTCTCCTAAAGGAGCCACGCAGGGAAATTATCGTTTCCTTTGCTTTGCCCCCCTTCCCATTCCGCCACTGAAAAATGAAAAGAAATTCCTAATTGAGCCCAGGAATACTCCATCTGCTCTGAGGTCACTGGGTTCCGCGGCTCCCAAGGGCTCTAAATCATCGTCCATTAGTCTGCTTCCAGCGCAGCCCTGAGACCAGAGACCCCGGAGCGGGGATACCACTGAGAAAGTAATTGCAGGTAAATGATTTATGTTTTCCTGGTCTCATAAAACCAGGAAGGCCAAATACTAAAATTCTTAAAATGTTCAACTGAGGCCAAAGAGTAACTGAGGGAACAATAGGCAGTTTATAAAGGGGCAAGACCTCGAGAAACACACGTGGTACTCAAGTTAAAGCGGAAAGGAGCTCTAAAGAGAACCCAGTTGTTGGATTTTACAGGCTTAGGAAATGGAGTTCTTAGAGATGTGTCGCATGCAGTAGCATCTTATTATTTTTTAAAATAGGTTTATATTGATTTCAGAGAGGAAGGGAGAAGGAAAGAGAGCCAGAAACTTCAGTGATGAGAGACAATCATTGATGGATTGCCTTCTGCATGCCCCACACTGAGGATTGAGCTCACAATACAACCCAGCAGGTGCCCTGACCAGGAATTGAGTCCTGACTTCCTGGTTCATAGGTCGACACTTAACCACTGAGCCACACCAGTCAGGCCACAGTAGCATTTTAAAGGCTCTGAGAAGCTGCAGCAGGGCAAGCTCTTCACGTTGAACCTTTTGAGGGCTGGACCATTCTTCTCATGCACCTGTGAGCACTGCCGTATTCTGCACAACCTTCAGAGATGGGGGAAGGGGAGGGCGGGAGGAGACCCTGCAGCATGTGGAAGGTGAAGTGCTGATAGAATATGAGATCTTGAATGTTGGAGTGACTACAAATGTATTCAGAAAAAGATGAAAATATTGGACTAAAATCTTATTCATTCTTGTCATGGAATTGGTATTATTTTGGGGCAGTCTTCTCTGCTTTAAAACCAAAGCTGAAAGGTATTGGTTGTTTTTATACAAATTTGCTACCAATAATGTTGCCCACATCAACTTTATTGAACTCAGAATACTTCGTTTAAGTTTATATCTTCTGTTTGTTTTCCAGGACACCGTCATTTATGATCGACTGGCAGAGACTTCAAAATACAAAGAAATCACCCTAAAACATTTAGAGCAGTTTGCTACAGAAGGTGAGTGTAATATTGTAATAGAGCATGATTAAATGTGTTTTTAAAATCATAGACTACTGTGATTTTACCTGTGGGATCATTGTTATTATTTTACTTAGAGATTCCGGAAGCCAGATAATGATTAGCGATGATTATTTACATCATACTATATGCTATTCCCACCCATTATCTTCATTTTGCTTTCCTGTATTTATTAAATTTTTAAGAAACTTTGTCCCCTTGGTCTAGAGGCTACAGGGCCTATAAATTGGTCCACTTTCTAGAATGGGCACTGTTTACAGTTTAAATACTTGACTTTGTATCTCCTTTCATAAGCATCTAGGAAGCCTATATGGTGATCCAGCCACTGTGCTCGGGACTGGAGTTATAGATACAGAAGGTCTCTGCCTTCCAGGAGCTAAGCTAATATAGGCAGTCCATGGAAAATAATAATGAAACATTGTCCTTCACACCATAGCTGTGTTTGGGGATTTCTGTCCAGGCATGGGAGCGTTCTGGGTAAGAGGAGGATGCTTTAAAAAGGTGATTTTAAGAATGTTGAGTCTTAAAAATAGATGCAAACCAGACAGTAGAAGAGAATTGGAGAGAATGTGGAGAAAAAGTGACCAGCATGTGCCAAAACCCTGGTGTGCCGGAAGTGAATGGCAGAGAATGGGGTTGAAAATAATTGCTATGGGATCAATGAGCCAGACTTCAGGGTCTGGAGTTCCTTCTGAGGAACGAGTAAAAGATTTCAAGATTTCTTAAAAGGTTTTAAGAAAGTCATTCTAGACATGGAGGATGGATTGAAGGAGTTAGGAATTAAAATCAGAGTGCCACTTTTAAAGGCTAGGGCCATATTAATATACATCTACACTAAAGCTTGTCATTCTTGAGTTGGACTTCAACATGTTGCAATTAAATCAGCGTTTTCTAAGTAAGACTTGGTTAGATAAAAATAGAAGTGTCAGACTCCTGACTAAAATTTTATTTGGTGTTGAGGTGGATGCTACCTTTTTCAGGGCTGAGAACGTTATGCTTCGCTGTAGCCGAGATTTCGGAGAGTGACTTCCAGGAGTGGCGAGCAGTCTATGAGCGCGCGTCCACCGCCGTGCAGAACCGGCCACTCAAGCTGGAGGAGAGTTACGAGCTAATCGAAAAGGTGCGTGGAAGGCAGTTCTGTTCACATAGAAAGCGTGGTTTCCAGGAAACGTCCATCTCCACTCATGGGGCTGATGAACTAAAACCAAAATGTCTTCCCATCGCACTTACTGTTGAATTTCCACTAGTGTAAGCATTGACAGGTCTTAATACCAGTTAAAGCTGTTGCTGAAAAGTCTCTGGCATGACTTTGTATGGATCTTTACTCATGTCACAGTTGTGGAGCTAAAACTGAAAGGTAGTTTAGTCTACCAGTACTCCTGGCCTGGCCGTGTGCATATTCCATTGCTTCTGCATCACTCAAGATACATATGCCACACTCCACACACATGGACATGCACATATGCACACACATTACAAATACATGCATGTGTACATATAGTTAATGAATGTGTGTAATGTGCAATTCAAAATAACGGTAAATATTTTGTAGCTAATAATAATGTGTCAGCCACTGTTGACTTCTATGCATCCATCATTTCCGTCACAACAGAAATGTCCTCATTTTATTTTCCAACCAACCAAGGCTATTCAGCCCCAAAGTGATGGATACACTATTATTGATGCTGTTTTAATAGCAAGAAAGATTACTTCCTTAATTTATAATATCAACAGACATTTTCCCATAGTATTTACTATGTGCCCGGTGCTATTTGCAGCACTTGAATCTATTTATCCATTTAATCTTCACAACACCTCTTTGAGGTAGATGCCACTAATTACCCCCGTTTTACAGAGGAAGAAATCAAGGCAACAGAGAGGTTAAGTCATTTGGCTGAGATTACACAGCCCCTAAGAGGACAAGCCAGCATTCTCACTCTGGCTCCCAAGTTCATGCTCTTGGCCACTCAAACATCTTCATTCTAACCTTTAACTTTACATCAAGTTACTTTCTAAGTGCATTACCCCAGCTGTACTGGAGTGTACTGCATGGAAGCAAGCTTCCTGTTGGCTACCGTTTATTGGATCTTGCTTTCAGGTGAGCATTTTCACTTTCTACTCCCTGTGTGCCCTTCCCTCTGGGAACAGTCATGCTCCAAATGCAAGTGGTGGTCTCTGTCAGAAACAGTGACGTCTGTGACCCTAGATCCCATTCTCCTGTCTCCTCGGTGGATAAGGATCACTATGTTCCTCCTATCTCCCTTGTATTTGAACTGTAGATGTGCACACATAGCAGGAGGCTTGTTACCAATCCACTTAACTGAATTTCTTTTTTTCCTAACACGCTCATATATGATGATGCCTTGGGGTATTACGTGGTGACATAAAAAAATATTTTACTGGTGAGGCCATGACCATAATCTCTTTCCATCTTGCCAACCAAAGTCACATGTCTTGAAGCACAAATGGTATTGATTTGTAATCTTTTGCTTCTCTTACTCCTCAAGAAGTAAAGAAATAAAGCTTTACCCTGTTTGCAAATTCTCCTGTTTCTCTTGCTACACAGCCTGAACTTAACGTAGCCAGCCTTCTACCACAAGCTAGTGAGATATCATTAATATACAATACGTGACAAGAAAATATTTGAAGATAGATTTTAGATATTAAATTGTGTTTGTATGGGCAGCATACTGCAGAGATTTCTGGACTTGAATCTTGAACCTGGGTGTCCTAGAATTTCCAGATTAGATTTTATAGGTTAAATAATGGTCATGGTGGTGTGGTGTGTGTGTTTGTGAGTATATGTATGTGTGTGTAATATCTGTTATTAGAAGCCTTGTGATTTCCATCTTTAAATGAAATACGTAGATTATTTCGCGTTTTACCAGCAGATGGCGATGGTGAGTCACATTGCAATTTAAGTTGCCTGGGGAAATCCATACCATGGATGTGTATAGTTTTAGTCTACAAATACACAAACCTCCCTTGCCTCTTACCTAAAATAAATGGTAAAGGTAATTTAAAGCTAATTCCTCTCTAGTTCATGATAAGCTGTGGTCTCTAGGTTTTACTGGAAAATCTAAGACCCATAAAGCTTAAGGTTGCCCAGTTCAGCCAGCTTGTTTCACATTAGGATTGGTTTCCTAATTCATCCCTCCCCCTGAAACCATAGTTTTATCCATTTATTCAGGTTGGGCGGTTAATAGATATTGGTTACCTATTAATATTAGTTATGGGGTAACTAAGCAATTAAGCAAATAAGCAGTGCTCAGCGTGGCCCTCTGAGTGTCGCGGTCTGAGCAGCTTCCTTAAGGGTGTCTGAAGGGAGGCGTGGCTCACAAACTCCATCCAAAGGAAACTTTAGACAGGTGGCAGCTTTTGAAATGAGCCTCAGAAGATTACTTTACCAGTTAAAGGGGAGCAGAGGTCTTTTGGGGAGAAAGAATAGGCACGTACAAGAAGGGAAGTCTTTGCAACTGAGAGCTTGTTTCCTGAAAAGGGCTTTTCCCAGCCCTGATCGTGTTGGGACCCCCAGAGCCAGGTGATACCATGTCTTCATTAGTCCGAGCTCCCTGCTTTGTTAAAAGCAGCCGGGCCTCGCACTCAGTGGGGTCTCGGGCCAGTTACTGCCACTGAAGCCACCTAGGGCGGCAGCTCTCAACGTCAGACCAGGCCCTGCTGCTGCATCACCCTGGCTTACACTTAGCTGTGCGCCTTACCGTTCACCCACTGGCTTCTTCCTTGGCTCTTTTAAGGGAGACATGTTGGTTATGTAATCTTTTTAAATGTCATTGGAATCCATTTTTTATGTAGAGCATAACAGTGGCCTTCCCACATAAGATAGTAAATTTTAAACTCAGCGTGGTTTGCAAGCACCAGTGGGGTCCCTCAGCCTGGCCTGTGCTCTCTCGCAATCTGGAACCCCTCAGGGGATGTCAGTCTGCCAGTTTTGGCCCGATCCCCACATGCCAGGCCAAGGGACCCCACCAGCACATGAATCTGTGCACCAGGCCTCTCGTATGCATATAAGATCTTTGGTTAATCTCTTCCCGCCCTCCCCGCTTCCCTCTGAGATTCATCAGTAGGTTCCATGTTTTCATGCCTGTGCATTGAGCATCTGCATCTTGATGGTCAGTGTACATCATAGCTACTGGTCAACTGGTCTCTTAGAATTTATATATATATATATATATATATATATATATATATATATACACACACACACACACACACACACACACACATACACACACACACACACACACACACACACCATATTTTCCGGCGTATAGGACGACCCCCTAATTTCACAGTTAAAACATAGGTTTAGGCATATATTCGCTGTATAAGATTACCCCCCACTTCAAAGAAAAGACTTACTTTGCTGTAAAGATCTGCAGGTAATTTTTGTGCAATTTTGATCTTTTGCCCCTGATTTTCGGTTGACTTTTTTTCGTTTCAAAAGTCATCTTATATGCCGGAAAATATAGATATCCTATATAATAAAAGGGTAATGTGCAAATCAATCGAACAGTGGAATGACCAGTTGCAATGCTGTACACTGACCACCAGGGGGCAGACACTCAATGCAGGAGCTGCCCCTTGGTGGTCAGTACGCCCCCACAGGGGGAGCGCTGCTCAACCACAATGAGAGCTGGCCAGCTCAGAGGCCCGCCTCTGCGGCAGCGCTAAGGGGAGAGGGCCTAAGCTGCAGTCGGACATCCCCCAAAGGCTCCCGGACTACAAAAGGGCACAGGCCGTGCTGAGGACCCCCTCACACACCCCCAAGGAGTGCACCGAGTCATGCACTGGGCCTCCAGTATGTGTATATATACTGTATATATAACAGATGGAAGTAAGGCTGCTCTGCTTAAGGAGCACAGGGGCTCAGAGAAATCCAAGTTGCTCCCTTCCGCCTCCACCTTGCCCTCATCGTGGTTCACAAGCACAACCCTGGGCCTCCACTGAGCATAGCTGAAAAACCTAATGCTATTCCATCTGAGTGGGAAGTTTGTAGAACATGTGCTTCTCAAAACGACTATGGACATCTTCCCTCGCTTTTCAGCAAAAATCAAAACATCTTTATGGTCCCATACAGGGGTTTCTGAGCCTATCTGAATGAATAATGCAGAGTGCCCTTGACTTGTTAATGGAATGTCATCGTAAAGACATTCCAATGTTTAAAGATTTGTAGAGCTTTTGCTGAAGACAGGAGTATTTTTCACATGTAACAAAAGAAGTGAGAATTTTGTAATGTGATTAAGGTTGTACTTTTAAACCCTGCTGTCTATCTTATCCCTTCGATGTTGGTTCAAACAAGAAATTCCGTTTTTAAAATAACAGCCTTGGGGTCTGTATCTTTTAGCATAGCTGGAAAAAAGTGCAAAAAGACCAAACACATCCAAGAAGATAATGACCTTTGTGACATTTGTCCCTTGGTTCAGTGCCTTGTCGCTTACAAACACTAGAATGCATTAAGGAAAGAGGACTTGGGGAAAGGGGAGTCCTTGGATATTGTTATCTCTATTGATGGTCACTGTGAGATGAGAAGATTTGGAACTTTTACATTCGCCTATAAAACATGCTCTCTGCTACAGTCTGGGCACATTTCGATGGTAAACTTTTCCGAATTTAGAAAAGAATTCTCATGCTGTGGATTATTTCAAGATGGTATCGAACCATCTTGTTTCTGGTACTAAAAGCAGGCCAAGAGGTGACATGCATTACTAGGAAGGCAAAATTATTCAAGAACAAGAATATCATTAAAATGCAAAACATATTGTTAGCGTCGTAGCAGGTACTTGAGGCGCCCTGGCCCCATTTTGGGAGAATTGTCGCATCCCCTTGGGTGTGTGGACAGTGACACCTCTTTGTCTCTCAGTCACAGCTTGAGAGAAGTTGCAGTTGTCTCATGCTTCCCCTCAGCACACTGGAGCTGTTTTCCTTCTCTAACCTTATTCTTTTGACCTTATTCTTTTGAAAGATAATTAATGTATTTGGACGTGTAACTTTAGATTACAAAACCGCTATTGTGTTGGCCTATATTTTCAAAACTCAGATTTTTTTAAATTAAATTAAGCATTCATTTATTTGTTTTGGGTCAGGAATAATATCAAATAA